TGAGAGGGATCATTTCTTTTTTGTTCCATCTGTCCTCTTCTAAGTTTGTTCATGCACGGCGTGACACAAAGAGGTCCCACTCTGCTGCCACTAAGTCCAAGAAGCTCGTTACTCTGCCTGCAGCTGCATCATTTTCAGCCTTTATATGATCCCCAATCACAATGTCACATACTGCCTTCAGCGAGTGTCCTAACTTCAAAGCAAGAGATAGTGTGTCATACCTGTACTTGAAGCTGGTAAAACCAAAGGCTTTTTTGCTGCTTCCATGGCTAAAGAAAATTTAGGTGGCACCAAAACATCTTGCAGCATCTTAACTTCGCGGTCAAGGGACTTGGCAGCAAGTAAAAATCTACCCAACTCTCTCATCTTTTGACTGACAGGACCATCTTTTGATCAGTCACTCCCATGTTTCTCCAGCAGTCTATCTTCAAATACACATATGAAAGGGTCATGTCTTAATTCAAGCGAGACCTTGTCAATTACCATTCTCCTAACATTGTTTGAGCATCTTTCTGATGGCTGTCCTTTGTATGGAAGGAGAGCTTTTTGATGTTGAAGGAAGACACATTGCTAGGGCCACTTCTGTTTCACTGCTGTGTTTCCGCCTCAGATGCCGTGCCATTTTACTTTGTGGTTTTTTGCAGTATACACAGTAATGACGCTTGTCCCACTTTCTTTTTTGACCCTTGTGGCAGGTTTTCACTGTAACCACTGTCCTACCCTCATCCTCATTGTCGCCGCTGTCATCAGGATTCCCATCATTGCTGTTTGTGTTGCAGGGGTCTTCTTCAGAAGATGGGATATATTCACTTAGTAGTAGTAGTTATTCAAATAATGAACCTATAAAGTTTTGCAGTTGGGCTGCATTGCTGTAGCCCACAACAAAATAAAAAGCATAAATATATACATACCAATTCCTCTTGTGCCTTCTTTTTTCTGTTCATCATCTGTAAAATTCAGAGTAAATTTGAAACATATTGACAATGTTACAGAAAAACCGTTACAAATAAAGCATACATCAGCTTTATTTTCCTGCATAAAGTTGACATATTTTCAGACAATTTAAATTGCTTTGAGTTATTTTTCTTTAAATAGAGGCTCACAAGTTAAAGCGAACATTAGCTTAATAGCTCTTAAATACTAATGCTGGAGAATGAGCCAGAGGACTAAACCAGAATTCAGCTTCAAACCAAAATAACTAACTAGTTTCATAAATCTTACCTGGACAATTTGCAGAGTTTGTTCATTGTCTAATTCAGCTTTCATGATTCTCTCCTCGTCGTATCTCTCAGCACACTGATTGTGGTGCTACCGCAGTGTCTGCAGTGTTCAACATTAGTTGAAGGTGAGACTCAAGCTCCAGGTGTTATAGATATTGCTTGATTGCCACCCACTTCTAAGCTGCCCTGTCTGTGCCCTTTTAGAGACACAGGAAGTATTGCATGAATTCAGCTTAAGCAGTATTTAATCAGAGCATGATACTTTATTTTATTGCATTTTTGCATGCATATGATAAAATAAA